CTGCTTCTCCCTCTCCCACTCCCCCTGCTTGTGTTCCCTCTCTCGCTGTGTCTCTCTCTGTCAAATAAATAAATAAAATCTTAAAAAAAAAAAAGTTTCCAATGATGCACACAGGAAAGACCTCAGAGCCTTTCCATGCAGAGACAGGGTCTGAATGAATGGCCAGGTTATTCCTTTCATGTGTTTCCCTGTGCCTACCTTGGGGTAGTCTCTGGTTTCTGCTCAGCCTTTAAAGAATGTCTGAATGTCAGGAAAATAATTGGATAAAACCTTCACAAACTCCAGCACCAAAATCCAAACTTCCTCTTCAGTCTTTAAGATCCCCCAGTCTCCTTGGGAGTTTGCTCATTTGTAAGGTGATTTGAAACTGGCTGGAAGTTCCTTAGGGGAGTAGGCAGGTAAGAAGATCAGCCATTCTGGTCTAGCCATTACAGAACCCACTGTTGTGGAAACCTAATCCCTTGTGAAGGGTCAGTGAGAAGTGAACCATCTAGCATGGAGTTCTGGTCTTTTCTAGCTGCTTTCCATCTGGCCCTTACCAGAATCTGGACTGTGGACTACCACCATCCATTCCAGGTAACAGGCCGGGAGTTCTTTAAAAACTGACATATACTTGATCAGAACGCATACATAATTTACAGAGTTCAGTGCATAATATAAACCTGGGGCCTCTTGTTCAAATATTAAGAATTGCAAGATGGCGGCAGTAGACAGTGAATGCAGGACCCTGTGCATCTTCACAGGTTGCACACCCATGGGGTCATCTCTATATTTGATTGGAACCTAAAAATCATGTGGAAAAAATTCTGGCTTACCCAGTGCCCAAGGATTTCCCCCTTACCTGTTCACATACTATGGAGAATATCCATGTGGAGAGTATGGAGACTGCTTTGCCTTCAGCTCACCTCTACTGTCAGGTGACTGCCTTCCAGTCATACTGGGGTTGGGGCTCAACCTCCATTGCCCTCCACGCCCACCTCCACCACAGCTGCCAGCTCGAGTGTTGGTTGGACTTGAGTAGCTGTTTTCCTCCTTTTCAAATGTGAAGCGACATCAAAGGTACAAAACTAATCACCATTGGCACAACATAAGGGCAGGAATATTTATGCTTTCAGTTCATTTAAAATTTTTCTTTTTTTCTTTCTTTTTTTCACAATCACAGTCTCACTTTCAATGTCATGGTTCAAACTGAGAAATTCCCACCCCCTTTCTTTTTCATTGCTGATGATAACAGGAATATAAATTGCAAGATGTGCAATTATACCTAAAAATGCTAGATGCCTCTTAATGCAAAAAAGAAAAAAAAAAAAAGGCCGTTTCTCATAAAAATAGATTGTATGCTATGCTTTTTTGTTGGACCTACCACAGTATATGTACTTCCAGATGTCATTTTAAAATGCTAAAAACAGCTGCAAAAATTACATCCTGTCGTGGTTTTCCTTGTAATTGTAACATTTAGGAAATTAGCATTTGGGGCCAAGATAATTCCAGTAAAATAAGATAGCGAATTACATTTATTTAAAATGAAGCCACATTAAAATACAATTAGAGTTGATATTCTTTCCTTGATATTAACATATTCACATTTATATTTTACAGTCTATTGAGGTTTGGTATTTGAAATAATTATCATTAAGGAAAGAGGTGCATTTTTAAAACTATGATTAGTAAATATGTAATATTTAATGGAAGTCATACAGTACCAGCAACAGCCAATATCACCTCATATTTTAAAATATAGTTCTTGACTTTGTAATTATGACTCTCTCATCAGAATGGTTGGGACTTGATTTAAAGTTAAGACTGAGCATCTTTTATTTTTTTTTTAACTCTTATTTTTTAGGAACTGGGAGTCATTAGTTACCATGGACATAACCCTTTTGGTAGAAACCAAGCATAATTTTTCCTTTTTCAGTAACAGGCCATAGAAATGCATCCATACTTCATTAAGAATTAAAGTGGGAATGTCTCTGATTTCTTGACTCAGAACCTTCCATGTCATTAGATGCCACTCTTCAGGAGGGGTCACAGCTGTGGCCTCTTACATCTGAGGTTGACAGCTGCCACTGGTCCAAGTATATTTCCTTTCTTTATCACACCCAGATGTACTGAAATGAAAACTTCTACTGAGGAAGAGCCAGGGATCTCATCAGCCCAGAGACTCAGCTGCCCTCAGACCACCCTTCCTGTGCCCCCCAGAGCACTCTGATCTGTTCACTTATGGCACCTGGCTCTCCCACTCTCTGTCTCTCCTTACTGTTGTCATCTACTTACCTTCTAAGCGTCGCCATCTTTTTCAGTCCTGTTATCTTGGGTGATTCCATGTGGATACTCATGGTTACATAAGTGAATTCATGTCTTTAGTCTGGAAACTTCTTAGATTTTTCACTTTCACCTGTAAGCCTTGCCTTGCCCCTACTTCTCTCTCCAGCCAAGTTTTCATTCTCAACACTTGAGCTATCCTCTTCCCAAATGCTCAGATAGTCCTTTGGTTTTTTCACTTGTCAGAGAGCCAGCTGGGTCCACTAAACTGTCTCCTTGCCCTGAACCTGTATCCAGTATCTCAGCTCAGTGCTACAAGAGAAAGCCACATCCACACAGAGATTGGTGCCTCTGTAAGTTGACAATCTCTAAGCTTGAATGATGCCCACCCACCCCCTATTGCTTGTTGTTCTTATCAGTTCTCTTGCCTGCTGGCTTCTTTGTCTATTACCAATAATCTCCATGTTCTTTATGCCTCTAACCACACCACCTTCCTCCTTATTCTTAGCAGAGAACCTTGCTTCTGACCTCACAGAGAATACAGAAGTCCTAAGAGAACAACACTGTCACAGCCCGCGTCTGCTTTGCTTTCATATTTTCCTCCGTCCTTCCTATCCCAATGGCCAAATTGCTCTTTGTCTTCCCCTACCTGTACTCTGGATGCACTAGGATTCATAGCTAATATTTATTAACTGCTAAGTGCTCATTATATACTTTCATAGGATCCTCCACTCAAAAGGGACCAGGGTTATTCTTGAGTCTGGTTCCAGATGGGGAAATTGAGGCTTAGAGAGGTTGAGAAATTGTCCCATGTTCATATATGGGAACTCTGTCCCCAGTTTTTTATACCTTCTCTCTTCTGGCTTGTTTATACTAGGGTTTAAATATTGCACAAGTCTCTTCCAGCTATTAAAATGAGCACCCATTCTCCTAAAACTACCACAGCCCCCTTTCATAACTAAAATTACTGAAAAAGCTCTCTACTGTATCTACAGTCAGCCTCTAGTTTCCACCCATTCAGTCCTCAGTCCACTGCAGTCTGGCCCCAACCCAACAAAGCTCACTCCGAGTTTACCAGTGACCTCCATGTTGCTGAGTTCTCTTTGGGTCCTATCTTACTTGACTTTCCTGAAGCATTTCATACTACTGCTCCCCCTTCCCTTTGCTTTCCTGTGCCTACCCCCTTTCCTGACCTTCTCTCTGTGTCTTTAACTGCTCCCTAGCCTCATTCTCTGCTGGTCACTGTAGTGTTTGTGGTCTTCCAGACTTTGCACTAAGCTCCTTTATTCTCATTCCATACATACATCCTGGGTAACTTCATCCACTCTTGTGGTTTCAGTTCCAATCTAGATGCTGGTGAATCCCAAGTCCGTGTCTCCATCCTTGATAAGGGCCTGAGAGCTAGATCTTCATATGTATCTCCCTTCCTATTGGACATCTCAATTTGGATGACCCTCTGGAATCATTAGATTCAACAGTTATAAGATTGAGCTTACCTTCTTGAAGGCAGGGTGGAGAAGAGATTAAAATTGTGGGCTCTAGAGTCAAGGTTGATTCTGCCATTTACTAGCAATATGGCCATTTCTGACATTTAAAATGGGATAACAATGGCGCCTCCCTCAAGGGCCATTATAAGAGTTCAATGCAAAGTCCTCAGAACCAGGGTGTAGAATGGATCTTCAGTGGATGTTAGCTACTACTCTTATCCTTGCTACTGGGAGTACTAGCACTGGTACAGCTACCATCACTACTTCTGCCTCCCCCACTGGCTCTGTCCCCAGTGCTCCTCCTCATCCCAGTGGATCCTAACAATAAGAGGCAACACTTGAGCACTTAATATGCACAGGTGCTCTACGTACTCTGCATGTATTACCTCATTTGATCTTGGCTACAACCCTTTGAGGTAGGGCTTATTATTTTCTTTGATTTCTGTGAAAATTAAGTGTCCAGGGTTAAGTAACTCATACGTGGTCTCATAATCACTAGAATTTATGTTCACACCTGCAGACCTTTTAACTCATCCTCTTGGTAGTTAGGTTTTGCCCTCCCACCTCCTGTGTAGCCTGGCCAGACACCTGAGAGGGCATCTTTGACTCTTCCTTTCTCATCACAACCCCAAGATCTGTCAGCTTGACCTCTAGATCAGAGATCTCTTTATCCCAGTTACACCAGGTCTTGCCTCCATCAGCTCTCATTTACGTGACTATAGTGGCCTCCTAGTTTCTTGGCTTCCCTTATTGCTCCCCTCCTATCTGTTCTCTGTAGAACACCAGCTCTATGTGTTCTTCGACAACACTGTCCCAAGGTACTTTTCTGCCACCATCTTTAGGATCAAGTTCGGAGTCCTTAATATAACTTCCAAGGCTCTTCACTATCTGGCTTCTGTTGTCCTGTAAGCTTCGTGTCTTGCCACTTCCCCCATAGCAAGCCAAGATCTGGTTTTATTGAGCTTCTCTTGCATTGCTCTATTATGCATGAAGAAGAAGGGCACAACTTAGGTTTACGTTTCCTCAGGAAGCTTGCCTTGATTCTAGGTAGTACCAAATTCTGGGATCAGTACCCCACTCTGTATGTTATAACACTGCGTCCTTCAGTCCTAGCTTGCGACTCATTGGGTGCCCACTTGTGTTTATTTGTCACAGACTGAGAGTCCTGTGGGGTCAGAAACCGTGTCACCTTTATAGACTGCTGTATCCCTGAAACCCCCCTATGCCTGATGCCATGCTCAAAAAAAAAAAAAAAAAAAAGGGTGCTCAGAGCATCACATGAGAGATGAAGATATTCACACCCACATTTTGTGACCTCCTGAGATCACGCAGCTCACTAGCGACAATTGTAGTGGTCAGCAGCCCAGATTTTAATATCAGACTTGGATTCAAATTCTCCCTCTGCTACTTACTTGCTTTAAGCCTCAGGTTTTTGTTTTATAAAATGGGAATGAGAAACATGTCAGCCTGGCAGGGTTGGGAGAACAGAGTGAGGGTATTGCCCACTAAGAACCCAGCCCAGCACCTGCCCCTTGTAAACAGGTCCTCAGTGATAGGATTTCATTTGAACCCAGGTCTCCCAACTCTCAGAGGAGCATTTGGCTTATGACCACGTGCCTGTGACATTGTCAGAGCAGTGTGTGTTCGTGGTTCTGTGAGCTGTTCTTAGAAAGTAAAAACAGAGACTAAAGACAGTTCCATTAGGGAAGTTCTCTGATTTTAAAAGTTTTTTATCTAGTGATACTTTTTGACTGTGTAAATATTTCTAGAAAGCCTAAACTGCACTGAAGTCTAAAAAATACTATGAAATATTTCCAGTGTTCTCTCTTTTGTTGTATACAAGAGAACAGTCATATAATAACTTTAATGAAACCTTATCCCTACTTAGAGTAATGACATATGTGCTGAGCTTGAGTATTGGCAAATACTTTTCATATACGTTTATGTGATTGATATTTCATGGATGGCAATGCCTATAATCTGCAGATTATTTTCTTTTGGTAGGAGGATACGTATAACACTAAATGACAAGTTTCAGTGAAGGATATAATTCTTTTATTGTATATCACAAATCTGAGCATTGCTTAAGAGTTAAGTGATGGTATTTTGGAAGTAGGCTGCCCTGGGTTCAGATCCTGGCTTTACCACATCTCACCATTATGACCTTGGACAAGTTCTTTCACATATCTGAGCACTGGGTTCCTCATTTGTAAAATGGAGATACTATTCGTTATCGTTAGGATTTGCTGGGAAGACAAAGTGAGCTAACATGGGTAAAGCACTCAGCACAGCACGCAGGTCTGCTTACAAAAGCCACCAAACATCTTATGCTCATTAATAGCCCAAATTAAATGGATAACACATCTAATTGAAACATTTGTTAGCTCTTTGTAAAGGTAACTTTTGCCAGTCTGCATTTGCACATAATACAAGGAAAGTTTGTGATGAATTTTTCCGTAGTTCTGCTTTTTTGCTGTATCTGCCATTTACCATAATGGGAACATGTGTAAGTTTAAGAATTACTGTTCATTCATGGAATACTACATCTAAAACTAATGATGTAATGTATGGGGATTAACATAAGAATAAAAAAAAAATATATTGTTCAGACAATAGGAAAATAGTCCCAAATGGAGGTTTGAAGGTACAGAAAGGAAGAAAGAGCAATAAATATGTGGTTAAATAAAAAAAAAAAGAATTACTGTTCATGCTGTTTAAGAAGAATGAAATCTTGTAGTCAGTAAGTCTAGTATTTGAGAAGAAATCAACTTTTGTTATCAATATTTTAGCAAGTTGTTTTAAAATTCCCAGTGACTAACCCCCTTTATTTTGCTCGCTCTCTGGTAAACCCATTCACAAACTATGTAGTCCCCAGTTACTTGTATCCTAGAACTACTGGTCATAGGAGGTTCTTGATGAACCTGCCTACAGTAGAACCATGTACAAAGTGGTAAAACTATGGATTTGACTACTGTCACAATTATTATTGGTACTCATTATTAGTGCTATCATTATGATGGGAAATGTGCAAACATAACACAGCTAACTCTTTGGAGTCTTTGCTTCGAGAAATTATTGGGAAATGTGATATTTATAAAAAGATGTTTCAGTGTGTGCATGGCTGTTGGCTTTTAAGTACCTTACTGCTTTTCTCCTGATGTTTTCCCCCAGTTAATTCTTTTCTTAATTGATGTCTGTGCTCTCTCTCTCTCTACCTCCCTGGCAGTCTTTTCCCTATAAAAGGACCCATCTGTCTAAGGTAGAGATTCTCCATTTTTATATACACTTATCAGTGACTAAGCTGTGTAGAATAGACATGCTTATCATTTAGAAGTTTCCTTTAACTCTGCTTTTTCAGTACAGTGGTGCTTTGTTTGTTTTCCTTCAAGTAAAATATGTTCTTTTCTGCCTGAATGCAAGCACCCAAACGTATGTCTAATTTCTAATCATAGTCATAGGTAGAGCAAAGAAAACATTTTAAACTTGCTAATCCATCGTAATTAAAAATAATGCTTAAAAATGGATGCTCCTTGTAATATGCAATTATATACAGAGAATAAGAGAGAAAGAGAAAAGCTCTTTCAGAAAAGTGACTTATTTTCATTTGATTTTTTATTAGACTTGAATTTGAGCGGCAACAGCGTGAAGAACTTGAAAAATTAGAAAGTAAAAGGTAAGCCACGTGGGGTACCAGTTTTAACACTAGTGTAGTCTTTGGAGTCTTGCATTAATCTTTCAGAGTTCATCGGGGTCTCTTTCAGGACCTTCCTATTGTTCTGTGTCAGGTATTTACGTGTCTAATAACTGCAGGTCATTCCTCTAGCTGGTTCATTTTACCGCGCGTTTGAACTTTTCAAATAGTACATCTTCAAATACTCGTGAGAAAGGGGGAATAGAGTCAGTAGTCAAATTTCATGCACTTGCTAAATTTAATACGCCAAGTATATGCTTACTTATATTTAATTCAAAAGGACATCCTCCTTAGTAATATCGCCTGAGGTTTTTAAAAAACCCAAAGAATGACAGTTGCCCTTCCTTTATGCCTCTTCCCCTCTTAAACATCTTTGCTTATGTTGTTTGGCCATTTGTATTTCCCTTCTGTAATTTGTTTCTTTATATTTTTTGCTCACTTTTCTCCTGGGGTGTGTGTGTGTGTGTGTGTGTGTGTGTGTGTGTGTGTGTGGTTGTTTAGCTGATTTGGAGAGGTTTTTGTTTTGTTTTGTTTTTAATATGTTCTGAATGTAATTGTCTGATAAAGCTAAGCATTTTCTTCCCCCTCCATCCTATTTAACAAGCCAAGAAATGGAGAAAGGATAGATACTGGAGTAGAAACTAAGGCCACAGAAAATTTAGATTGGATATTTGGATTGGATATTTCCAATTTGGAAAATTGGATATTTATTTTCTGGACTCTGGAGTTTAGATGTTACAAACGAATTAGTTTAGTTTCCAGCATCATATAAAATAGATCTTAGGTGGGTCAGGAGATAGAGGCCACGTATTGATATTTTGCACGCCCTGTGTTTTTTCTTTGGAGGCATCCCAACCTCAAAACACAGATTTAGCCCCCAGTGGGGATCATTTGTTCTGCAGGACCAAATATGACATGTCACCTCTGCAATCATGCATCTCAGTATTCTCATGGAGACACCTGTTATTTTCAGCATTACATGTTAATAAACTAATATTTTGGGCCATTTGGTGATTACCATTTGTCCTAAACTAGTGATTAAATGCTAAATAGCATGTGGTTATTTGAGCTGGAACAATGAACTGTCGATTATCTTGACTTTGATATTTGACCCCAATGAGTTGAAGACAGCATAAGCATTTTTATTTAATGTCATTTTGTAACTGAATTTCTATTGAATTTTAGCCATTGGGCTGAATAAAATTATTCACATTTAAATTTAAATTGGGCATGGTTCTTTCTCTTTGAGCTCAGGGGGCTTTTAAAATTATATCATGCATAACACATTATGCTTATAGACTCTACAAAGAAATGATATCAGAGGCTACTTCAGGAGATTAGGCAAATGATATGTTGGACAGTTACAGAGTAAAAAAGTTAAGCATGATGCTGCTGGAAATGAAAAGAAAAGCAGTTCCCCCCACTTTTTATTTTTGCAAAGTGTTTGACTTTGTGTTGTCTGTCCATTTTCAGAACATTTCAGTTAGAGAAAAGTTAGAACAACATTTGTGCTTAGCCATCAAATGATAATCAGCCAACATTTGGCATTTCAGGAAACTCATAGAAGAAATGGAAGAAAAGCAAAAGTCAGATAAGGCCGAACTGGAGCGGATGCAGCAGGAGGTGGAGACTCAGCGCAAGGAGACGGAGATTGTCCAGCTCCAGATCCGCAAGCAGGAGGAGAGCCTCAAGCGCCGCAGCTTCCACATTGAGAGCAAGCTGAAGGATTTGCTCGCCGAGAAGGAAAAGTTTGAAGAGGAAAGGCTGAGGGAGCAGCAGGAAATCGAGCTGCAGAAGAAGAAGCAAGAGGAGGAGAGCTTTCTCCGAGTCAAAGAAGAGCTCCAGCGGCTGCAAGAACTCAACAACAACGAGAAGGCCGAGAAGCTCCAGATATTTCAAGAGCTGGATCGGCTCAAAAGGGAGAAGGATGAGCAGTACGCCAAGCTCGAACTGGAGAAGAAAAGGCTGGAGGAGCAGGAGAAGGAGCAGGTCATGCTTGTGGTGCATCTGGAAGAGCAGCTGCGCGAGAAGCAGGAGATGATCCGGCTCCTCCGGCGAGGCGAAGTGCAGCGGGTGGAGGAGGAGAAGAAGGACCTGGAAGGTATCTGGGAGTCCCTGCTGCGGGTGAAGGAGGCCCGGGCCGAAGGGGATGAGGATGGTGAGGAGTTAGAGAGGGCTCAGCTGCATTTCTTAGAGTTCAAGAGAAGGCAGCTGGTCAAGCTAGCTAACTTGGAGAAAGACCTGGTTCAGCAGAAGGACCTCCTGAAAAAAGAAGTTGAGGAAGAACAGGAGCTCCTGGAGCGTTTAAAATCTGCAAATGAAGAAGATGGTAGATTGTTGGAGAACAATGATGATAGCGTCACAGATGTCACCCTGGTGGCTCAAAATTTAGAGAAAATAAAGCCGGCGGAATACAGGCTGCAGTATAAAGAACGCCAGCTCCAGTACCTCCTGCAGAATCATTTGCCGACCCTGTTGGAGGAGAAGCAGAGAGCGTTTGAAATCCTTGACAGAGGTCCTCTCGGCTTAGATAACACTCTGTATCAAGTGGAAAAAGAAATGGAAGAGAAAGAAGAACAGCTTGCACAGTACCAGGCCAATGCGAGCCAGCTGCAGAAGCTCCAAGCCACCTTTGAATTCACTGCCAACATTGCACGTCAGGAGGAAAAAGTGAGGAAGAAGGAGAAGGAGATTCTCGAGTCCCGGGAGAAGCAGCAGAGGGAGGCGCTGGAGCGGGCCGTGGCCAGGCTGGAGAGGCGGCATTCGGCCCTGCAGAGGCGCTCCACCCTGGGCCTGGAGATCGAGGAGCAGAGGCAGAAGCTGGCCACGCTGAACAGCAGCAGCAGTGAGCAGTCGGGGCTCCGGGCCAGCCTGGAAGCCGAGCAGGAAGCCCTGGAGAAGGACAGGGAGAGGTGAGACCGGGAAGGGAGAGCGTGGCACACAAATGATTGCGTGTTTTCCACCCCTCCTGCTGTGTCTCTCACTGTCTTTTACAAAAGTAATTCTTTCCTGCTTGTGTGTTCTCTAATACACCAGCAAATGGTTATTGTCAAGCCAAAGCTGAGAAAGTGCCCCTAAACATTTTCTTTTCTCCTTAGGATCCTCATTTTAGAATCATTGGCTTACAGTTGAAAAAAACACATAAAGAAAACCAAAGCCCTTGTCCCTTACTCCACTGACCTATGGAATGCGAATGTGTTCGTATTTGATAAATAGGACAGCTTCCAACCTGCCCCCTCCCTTGGGTCCATCCCCTCCCCTCCTTCCCTGTCCCTCCTTTGGCCCTCTTTCTCCCTTTCTCTTTACCTTCCCTTCCTCCCTCTTTTTTTCCTTCTCCCTGTCCCCTTCTTTACCCCCTCCTGAGCCCCTCTTCTGGATTTTTCCTATCCTCTCCACTCCCTTCATCCTCACCATGGGCTTACCATCTTCTCTGGGACCACACTGGTTACAATAAAACATCATCCCCTCGTGCGCAGACTGCACCCTGTGCTGATGTCCACACCCGGTGGGAAACTGAAAAACAGCCATTCTCCTACCCCTCCTGATTCACAGTATTTGGGGAGGCCCCGGGATTCTGCATTAAAGAGTAAACTACTAAACAAACAAAATTCTCCAGGTGATTCTGAACACAGTGGTATTTTTAAGCATGTGTGGTGATGATTTACTCACATTTCTTTTGGTGTTGTGAAAACTAAAACTAGGAACTAGCACTATTTTCATGGTAAAGAAAGAGTATTTATCTTCTCCCACCCATTCCCCGTCATCATGCTTCCTACACCGTAGGTTTTCAAAAGAAATAAATACATGAATTCGAGAACACTTTTTCTGGTAGCCCAGCAGACATGATGCCAAGCCTCCCAAAAATCTGTAGGCTGCCTGGTGTGCAAACATCACCCAATTTGTTGTCCTACCAGGGTGGGTAGGGGGGTGGTTCATATCCTGGCCCAGCCCCATTCTGCTTGGCTGGCCTTGGCAAGCTCTTTGATCTTTGGGCCTCAGAGTCCTCACTCTTACAGAAGGGGGCAGAGGAGACCGGGGCCTGTGCATTTTCTTTAGCTCCAAACCCTTTGGTCAGTTGAGATTGTACCTGAAGCCCAGGTTGGAGGGCCTGGACTGCTGCCCGCTCTCCAGCATTCTAACCACCCACAAGCACCTCCTGAGGGGCTGTAACCAAAGCCCAGTCAGCTGGCTTGTAGGAGCCCAGCTTGACATTGGCAGAGACCTGGGATCCATACCGATGACAAAGCAAGACCTGCTGTGAGGCTGGAGCCTCTCTCCATCATCTTGCCAAACAGGTTGGGACAACGTCCCTCTCAAATGATCTGCTTATACTGTGGGTTCTATTTACCTTTGCTCTCTGGTAATTCCTTCTAGCAAACCAGCAAGAAATAACAATCAAAAACCATAATGCTATTACTTGGGAGAAATAGGTTGGAGGTTTAAGAAAATGATTGCAGGTGTGTTATGTAAATGAAATTGCTGGATAAAGCTCCAGCCCCAGGAAATTTAAAATAGTGGAGGGCACACTCTCAATTTATACTTTGCAGTGTGCAGCAAGAATGCAGCGTGAGCTTTTAGCTTGATGTCTCTGGCTTTTGTCAAGCAGCTTCACTCCCTTGCCATTTAGTATTAATACTCTATTACAGCGGATACAGTATTGTGATTTCCATGGAAGTGATTCCCCAATGTCAGCGTTCCTCCAGAAGCCACACAAAGGATGCTTTCAGCTTCATGTGTTTTGACGGAGTAGACTTTGCTAAGACCTAATTCAGGCCAACACTTCTGAGCTCTTTGCTCTGGCTGTGATGCTCCTGCAGCTTTCTGTGGGTGTTGGTTTTGCATGTTATTATCTCTTTGGGTTCTCATGGCTAAGCCAGGGCCTGCCGTGCAGCCCGAGTCCGCCTCTCGTGAAATCCCACAAGCATGAAATTTTAAATTCGCATGGAACCAGATCAGACAACAGTGCACTGAACTTGGCTTTCCTTCTTTGGCTTCCTCATAAACAAGATTCAATCCATTTTCTGTCTTCTTTTTCACCCAGTGGTTATATAGCCACTGGGGACAAGTGTCATGCAGTTAGAAGGTGGCAGGTCTGCTCACCGCCCCACTCTGGGCCACTGTGTCCTCTTGTCTGCTGGCCCCAGGGCTGTGGCCCAGGTATGTGCTGAGACCATTTCCTGGGATACCCTGCTTCCTTTGCCCTTTGTATAAATCCCGTTTGGGCTTCAGGGCCCCACACCAAACCCTTTGCTCTGTGGAGTCTTTTCCATTGTTGCAGCACTGTAGGATGTCCTTGAACAACTCCAGTACGTGTCATCTTAGTTCTGAACATTGGCAGTTACTCACTTACATGCAACTCATTTTTCTTACCATCTCTGAGACTTTATATTAATATTGTTCCCTGGTTCTTTGCCCACCAACTGGCCCCTAACATCAATTTTTCATGGTTTCTTCTTCCTCCTTTGAAAATACTTCATAATGTGCAAGTTGATGCTTCGTTAAGTACTTGCTCATCAGTACACAGATGAAGGGCTAAGTTAAGCTGGGCATTGCCTTCTGTGAAACCCATGAGTGCTGACCTGGTGACCTTGTAATCACATTTCTGAGAATTAAGAACTTGGCTCTCATGTTCAGGACAGCTCAAATTGCTGTTGATAACACCAGAGAGCTGGCAATATCATGGTACGCCAGCATCTGAAGCTAGAATCTCTGAAGTTTGGAACTGAGAGAATTTGGAAGACTAGTTGATTCTCTCCTTAGGTGTATGAAGAACTTGGGACCCAGATTTCATTAATTTGCCCAAGTTCACACAGTGCCTGAGCTGTATCCCTTGGCTGGGATTCGTGTACCTGGTCCCAGGGACCATGTTTACTGGCAAGCTTGGCCCTCTGGTCTCACGGCCCTGGATTCAAGCATGCCGGGGCCAGCAGGAGAATGGCCTTATACACACTTTACCTTGTATTAGATGTATCATTTATCATTGGAAATAAATATTTGGTTCAACAATTTATGGTTTATTTTAATTTCTCAAGATACTGACCTTGCTTTCTAGGTCTCTCACCTATTTCCCTTTTCCACACCCTCTGCCTTAGCCAAAGTGGATTCCTAGTTTTCATGACGTAGACCTTTGTTCATACTGCTTTCTGCACCTGGAGAACCCTTCACCCTTATCTCCAAACATCCGAATTCCCACTGGTCTCTGAAGACTCAACTTAGAACTGCCTTGACGCCGTGGATTCTCCTAGATAGGTGGTTTTTAAAAATTCTTTAAAGTTTCGATCTCTTTTGTCATACTGAAGTATTTAGGGGGATCCCGATATAAAATCAAAGACCAACTGTTTTCATTGAAGCAGTGGTAGGGGGCTCAGAATCCTGCCCATCTACCTCAGAGGATTGGCTTGGAGCACAGTGGGAACATCTTTGCCCTTGATAATTAAACTCTTTCCAACTTTGGACCCCTACAGCATTTGTTCTGAATCCTTCTTGTGGCTCCTTATCACTTAAATCTTGTCTGATATGGCACCTTTTCTATTAGAAGGTAAAGCTCTTTGCAAAGAGTGTTTGTCTAGATCCCCCATGTTTCTAGAACAGTGTCCCACCCACTGAAGATGCTCAGGCAATACTGTTAATAAATTAATTAATGTAACTCCCGTCTCTGTAGATTAGAGCATGAAATCCAACAGTTGAAGCAGAAGATCTGTGAGGTTGATGGTGTTCAAAAAGGGCATCGTGGGACCTTGGAGGGAAAAGCTGCTTCTTCCAGCTTGCCACCCAGTGCTGAAAAGTCTCACCTGGTCCCTCTGATGGATGCCAGGTACTGGACATTAAACTGATGCCAAATCTACATTTGTGATATGAGTTAATGGCTTATTGTACCTCATATGGTCCAGTTTGCATATGGAGAGATCTATCAAAGGTGACAAGTGATAGGTGTCCTTGAATTGTGTATGCTTTGTTTCCATCAATTGCTGCCTGGTGGGGAGAGGTATCATTTGAAGGAAACCAAAGACTGGGGACTGGCCAACCAGATCCAAGGAATGCTGGTGCAATGTTGTGTGAGCAGGTAGAATTAGAAGGTACAGGGAAACCACCTCATCCAGAAAGGAGTGAACCAAGTCCAAGCTGAGAGGAACAAAGAAGTAGAGCTAATTGCACCATACCAAGAAGAAGGACCTTGTGCTGACAGTTAATTTATGGAAATATTAATTACAAATAGATGAAGTCTGTAAAAGAAACTGTACCAGTATATTCGGAATGATCATGAATAGCATATACATCTGATGCTACTATAGTAAAATGATTTTCAACTTGAGTGGCATTGTAAATTGCTCTGTGGCTTGGAGCTTTCAGATAAATTGACTTAATCATTGTTTGCCTCTAAGAAAATGGATTATTTTCCTCAACTCCATCTGTGTCATGGGGACATTTCAGATTGGGCAGTCATGAGCCCTGGGCATTAGACAATACGTATTCAGATATCAAAATGTATTCAGAATGCTATGAGCCTCTGTATCCCCTTAAATCTAGGTCTGCATCTTCAGTGGGGCTAGTTTAACATTTAAGTAAAGGTCCAGAGAAGTAATTCATTTGTAAGCGCCCTTGGCTCTGGGTCAGCTGTGTATGATTTTCCTTTCGGTGCTGAAAGGTAACTACCACATTTTATTACCCTATCCATTCTTCTGTGCTGTTTTGCCTACAATATTAATCTCTTTACCTAACATTTCAGAAATTCATCCAGGCATGGTCAGTAGTACCGAAATGTTTCTAGGACTGTGCATGTGTTTAGAGAGATGAAAGCAGATTCTTTTTTAGTGTGCTCAGACATAAACATGCAAAACAGTTCATTTTAAATAATCCATCTAATCAGTGTTTCTAGAACTGGGGGAAGGAGAGCCTAGAACTAAGTGAGCCTTCCATGTGGGCAGCCTGAGCCACTAGAAGGATTTTAGCTGGAACTGAAATTCCCTGGTCTCCCCAGTTCCGCTGGGTGGATGGTGTGTACTTCCTACAATTTCACTTAGGTTCTCGAGGGTACCAGATGTCTAGTTGACAACTGCCTCAGTAGTCAACCATTTCTTGCTTCCACCGTCTCAGCCCCATGCCAGGGAGTTTGGAAGGTAGAGAGGCCTTTAAAATATGGTTTCTCCCAGCCAGGTACCAATGGAGAGACAAGACAGAGCAGAAACAATTCAAGGCATTGTTCCTTTGGGATAGTGAAGATTCACAGAGATTGTATCCACTTTTTTTTTTCTTTCAATCCTCTTAAATGACTTTGTGATGTGAGAAATAACTGTCGCTGTTTTCCATGTGAGGGAACTGAGGCTTGCTGAGTGAAGTGCTGGGTCTCAAAGTCAGGGCTGAGGCCATGGAGCCTTCCAAAACCTGTGTCTGTGATTCTTCTCTGCCCTGCAGCAGGGGTTCCACCAGGGAGATCCAGGAGAGATTTGGATGGGATCACCTGTTCTCCGTTTTATCCTCAAGATTCTGTTATTTGTCCATTACTTTCTTGTTTTGGGAAAACCCAGATAGTGAACACATGGCACTAGATTTCTTAGAACGTAGAAGAATGTTCCAGGTCCCGAGTTGTTATGGTTGGTGTTTAGAATGAGAAAGTTCCTCGTTTTGAAGGGCATAATGAAGAAAGGATCTCACGTGCCCTGTATAGTTAGAAGTCCTTAAGTACCACCGAGCCCACCTCTGTTGTTTGCAGGATCAGCGCTTACATTGAAGAAGAAGTCCAAAGACGACTTCAGGACTTACATCGCGTGATTGGTGAGGATAGCAGTGCATCTGCCGATGTGGTGAAGGTGAGCTGAGGGGGCCAAGCCATCGGTCATACGTTTCCAAGACGACCTTGCCATAAGGTGGTGGCGGCGGCAGTGATGGGCTTCTTTATTATTGTTCGTCAGTGAGAAAATTGAGATGCAAAATGCTCTAGAAAAATTAAATATTGCTTGGGTGGAGCTTAACAGGTGATAAACAGTGCTGATTCAAGAGAAACTTTATTTTAAAATGTTTTACTTCTGGGGAAAATGCGTAAGTGAATGTACAGTCTTCTAAAACATTTACTTTATTTGATTTATAAAGATTCTACATATAACATTTTTCTGTTTTCTCCAAAAATACAACCAATTTCCTTAAGTATTTAATTTTGCTTGATAAATTATCCTAAGTAGATATATAATTTTGCTTTTGAGAAGATACGTATTTGCAATGTTGATTTTTATCAAAATAAAAACATTTCATTCCTATTCTGCAACCTAAGAAGTGTCCTAAGGAAATTTTGTTTTTAATATTATTCTTAGAATTTTAAGAGTAGGACTAGATGCTTCAGTTCCCTTACAGGCAGATGGATCGATAGAGTCGTGTTTACCTCAGGAATATAAATTCTATAGAAGGGTTGTCATTGTTGAGCAAGTATGCTTCTTTAGAATTTTGTTCCCATAAATATTTCTAATCGAATCCGTTTCTTTTCCCTCTATGAACAAGCTATAATTTAATATAGAGGGCTTTTTATTTTCTTATCAGGATAATGAGAAACTCCACAATGGCACCGTTCAACGTAAGCTAAAATATGAGGTAGGTAATGATTTTTCAGATTGATAAGGTCGCCTTAAATTATGGCATGCTTGTGTGATTAAATTTTCTTAATGTTTAGTTGCATAATTAGAATTTTGAAGTCCCAGTGAGATTAATGGCTAATAGGGGAGGCAAGCTATTATATGGACTTAAAATTAAACGGAATCCTGCAGATTGAAAACTGCTTGGACTTTATTTGAATGGCATGTGACTGTGGTGGAGGCCGCTGGCCCCGTTTTTCATTTGTAACAGTATCCTTTCCTTTGGTCTGTATTTAAAAGGCAGAATTATATAATCAGAATCAGATACAGGGTTTGGAAATGAAACTGAGTACCTCTTGATGTTTTAAAAATCCTGCTCACTTTATAGACTGTGAGTTGGCAGTAGTACAAAAGACATACTCTTGGTTGATTCGCTTATTTCTCTGGTGGATTGTCAAACCAAGGTTTATTTGGGCATATGATTTATAAGGTTTTACTTGTACTTTCCTCCATGAGGGACTTGTCCTTCTCATACACTCCTAAATTAAAAAAACAAAAACACCCCCAAAGTACTAGGTGGTAGAAGTCTCACAGATGGCGCCCATACACTCCAGAACAGAGATGAAAGGGTGGGTGTGCCCCAGGAGGCTTAGCTGACTTTGGCCACTGCCACACCTCCCTTCAGTCATGCAGTAATGACATTATCTTCCTCTGGACATCTGTCTCCCTAGCAGATAACCTTGGGAAGAGCAGGATGTTGCCCTTCATTTCTTTGTGCCCACTGTGCCTGGCCTGTAGCGGGCACCCAGTAGGCCTTTCACAGAGCTGGTTTGTAGCTGTGGCACTGGTGTTCTAACCAGGGCAGGTATAATTAAGAATTCCCGTGAAGTGAGCCAAGAGGCAAGAGGAAGATGACCAAGGTGGAAATACTTGTCCATTTCTTTTGGCCTTGTCATCTGATTGTCATTAAGTATGCCCTTATTCCTTTTACATTCTGGACATATGGTCATGGGCTTGTTTTCACAACTGAGGCTGACCTTTTGCAAATTGAATCAAAGATCTTAGGATTTGTTTTGGAGCAATTAAAATACTAGACCAAGAAATGGATACTGTGGATCAATCCCATGCAATGTTTTTTTTCTATCAAATACGCAGCAATTTGTAAGATAAGTAATATGGAAATTGATGTTCTGTTTGTGAATCAGATCATCTGTTCTTAAATCATGTATCAATCAGTATGAATGGCTTAGGCTTTCGATTTAACCTCTGCATTAATCTACACAATGAAACCAATGACTGCAAGAATCTTCATGTGCAAAAGATTTGCAAAAGGTACTGCCACCTCCCCATTTCAACTGTTTTTGACATCTTGAACAGAAAAGGTATCTTGCCCCGTTGCTGCCCAGAGACGTCACTGACACCGACAGCAGAGAAGAGGGGAGGGAGGTGGATTTGAACCACCACCAGGGTCATCCCAAGACACAGAGCTTCCTGGGCTCTATGGCTCCCTCCTCAGGATCACAAGAGAGAGCCCGCCAGGGAAGTCACCAGCCCTCAGGACACAAGGCGCTGCAGACCAGTGCTTGCAGACATAGTCATCCTGAGCATACAGCTCTTTTCAACCAAAATGTTTCAATCTACCTGAAATCACTTTTCTTAACGAAAGCAACCCCGGCGACACAAAACGTGTTCAGCATAGGTCAGGAAATCTCAGTGAGTTGATGCCTTATAAAGATGAACACAGCTTGGGAATCGAGTCCCACTGGAGTTTGCTGCAAGATTTGTCCCAAGAAGTGTCTATAAATAATGGAGGCAAGCAGACCAGGTGAAGCAAGTTACTGTGCTTTGTCCTCTCTGAAAGCATTTCTAGTGAGGAGAGGGCCTCCCAAAGCATTCCTCAGAGGGCACCAGCCTCAACATTTTGTGGTGAGCAGCAAGTTGAGGGAGAGTTAGCTGCTAAAAAAGTTAGCTCTCCACAGTTCCTGATAAATAGCAGGACAGAAGGAACCAGTGGGTTGCGCTATTTTTGCCACAGGCTCTCAGACCTTTACAAAGATACCGGTAGTCACCTGCTACAGTCTGGCACAGAGGTGATCCACCACGGCAGGCATGTGGGGAGCCTGTGTGACCCCCGTGGGCTCACCTCCCACGTGACAACATTGATCAGAAGACTGCCGTTTCTGAAACTCTTTCCCTTGGATGCACCCCTGAAGTCACATGGGGTGTCTTTGGAGTCTTGTTCTTTCCCCGGAGAGGCTCAGGCTGGCCACAGCCACAGTGAGGAGGCAGGGACCACTAGGCCGGTAGAGAGTGCGGCGCCTTTCAAAGGCCTTCCCACTGCCTCAGGGGCTGCAGGATCCCCAGGCTCCTGCCCAAGCTCAGTCTGCCACCTAGGATATGAAGGTGCTAGAAGGAGCTGTGCATTTAAGCAGACCCTTGTGCAGTTCCCAGCCTGGATGCTGAAACTTCAAGAGCACCCTTTAGAAGACTTTCTTGAGCACGTGGCTCATTCCCTGCCAGAACTTTCGGGTGACATGAACAGAGTCCAGGGTGTTTACTGGCTTGCTGTTGCTAACTGTGCAGAACCTGACCCTCAGCCAGCATGTTTGCTCCTGCTTCATTCCATGCTATATGCTTTGGTTCTGTCAGATAACCCATCAGGCTCAGTGGCTGTTTTTGCTCTACCTCTCTCTGGACTAGAGGAGATTCAAATTGGCTTTGGTGGGCAGAGCATCAGATCCCTGGACTCTGCAGAGAGTCTCCTGCTCACCGTATTTAGTTACAACAAAGCCCTCTGTCAGCAGATATGCCGTGACCTCCTGACTGTCCTGTTGCCTGAGTCTGAGGTCCCTGCCTGCACTAACCATCCTTTGTTCCAGCAAGATCTGGTTCAGCTTTCTCTTGATTGGAAAGCAGAAATCCCGGATTTAGTTTTGACAAACGGAGTTCGGTTGTCATCCAGATTCCGGAATACCTTGGTTGACATGATTTACTTTCTTCATGGAAATATGCAAGTCAACATCCCCTCTCTGGCAGAGGTTCAGTTATTGCTCTACACGACTGTCAGTCGAGGGTGACCCCGCCCAAGACGAGTGCCTGTCGTTAGTCCTTCTGAACACCCACATTGCCCTTCTGAGGGAAGATCGAGTTTTCTATCCCCACGCCCAGTCTCTAAACACACCTCCTCCAGGAACACAATTTGATGTGACCAGATGCCGTGCTTTGAGCGAATTCAGGTGTGTTGTTGTTTCAGAGAAGAAAACATTGTCAGCTGTCGAACTTACCTTCTTCGAGAAACTCCAACTCCCATCCAGTTCAAGAAGTAGCCCAGCTAGGCACTTCGAAGAAGCCCAGAACGTCCAGTTGTTAGCTGGCATGCTGGGTCTTCCGGGCAGTCAGAATGCGGCACCCAAGGTCTGGAAACTGATCCTCAGCTCTCAGGATGAGGCTCTGTGGCTCATCTCACATTTGACAAGGCTCGAGGAAGGAAACTTGTAAACATATTCTGCATGTTTTTTGAGATTTTTTAATAAAACGAACAAGATGAGAAGAGTCAAGAACTAAGACTATCTCTGTGTAGCTAATTGATCCGAAATTGGAAAAATCTAGACCTCTAAAATAGAAAATGTAAATATTCTAAATATTTCCGATAAAAGAAAAATAGGGGATAGCAGAGCACTGATAACATATCTTTATCACCACCCTGCGTCATTTTCTTAAACCTCAACCTTGTAAATTTGGGTCTGCCTCATTATTTGTGAGGTGATTAAAGCATTTCTGATTGTTTATGGCTTCATGTCGACTTGTAGTATGGTGGCTTGGAATCTGTTTGTGTCTGCTGGATTCCGGCAGGCTAATTTGTGCTGCTTGAGAACGTGCCTGGTTGGCAGTGACCTTCACTGACATCCTCCGTTTTTGCCATGATTAGGACAGTTCTGTAGCAGAGCACATTAGTAATGCATCAAGCTTCCTGGAGGGACCCAGGGATTTAAAATACCCTCCCCTCTAATACGTGGAATGGAGGCAGTACCACATGCCCTGCGGTGTCTTCTTGCTCAGTTAATTGCCTTTTCCTTCCTCCTCTCAGACTTTTTGACTCTTATTTTCCAACCTATGTGATTTCAGCTCCTTACTTGTTGGTTTAGTTTTGACTCCCCTTCCCCCTATGCCATATGCCCCCCACATGCCAGTTCTTTCTCTGAGTTTCTGTTACTTCTGTCCTAGAAAGGCTCTTCATCTTCAAGTCTTTTTCTCACAGCTCCTTCAAGTGATCTTATCAGCTGGAGGGTCACCTCAGAAGGCCTTTGGCACTTTCCCCTGGCTGCCCTCCCTCTCTGCCTCCCGCTAACCCTTCATCACTCATAACCTCTGACTGAGGTGTTCTGCTGGCCTCCCTTCCAAGGTGAGTCACGCCCATAGTGGCCTCAGGTACATCTCTCTTCACAAAGTACCATCTGGTACTCAGCTGCCCTCCTCCTCCGTGAGAGGCTTGAACCTAGGCCCTGTAGAATCTTCCTCTCCTCTGAGTGACCCTTTCTTTTTTATCCACCTCTGTTCAACATTCCTATTGAGGAATCAGTTTGCATGTCTTTTATTTATTAGTTATTTCATTGGATCCTGGGCTGCTCAGCCAGTGTTCTCCTGTTTCTTGGGTGTGTATGTTCTACTAAACTCCAGAGTCTTAGAAGGAAGGAGGTGTTCTTCACTGCTCTGTCCTTCCTCTGCCACTTCCAGCCAGGATCATGCCAAGCTCATGGTAGGTACTCAGAGAATGTTGCAGGCAGTTGAACAAAGCGATTCCATAAAGCCATTTATTTTAACCCTGGCCTGGAAGGGTCATTCTCTGTTCTGGGCAGACCTTTGGATGATGTGCAGCATAAATGTCATCGCCCCTCTCTTCATTTCTACTCCTAATTGACGAGAGAGGCGCTGTCAAAGCTTAGCCCATCCCAAAATTCACTGTCTCCCTTTGGCCAGGAAGTAAGGACCTTCTGTCTTTCCCCATCAGAATTAAAAGCT